ACCACAGCCAGAGACAAACCAAGACTTTCATGAATGCTCACAAATTTACACAGTTTCACTGCATGAGAGATGCTGCTGACAAAATATGATTAGGGAAAGTTGTGGGACTCCAAGGTCTGTTTCTCCCATGCATTGGAACTTGCTAATGTCTGTCACCCACACATCCCTCCCCATGGTGGCAAGGCAGTTCATTGATTTTTTATTCCTGCTCCCTGTGTTGTAATCATTAGCTGCTGGTTGTCATCTCCAGAAGCCTCAGATCCCCCCACCTTTGGACATGGAACAGAGGCAGCTGGCTTGGGAGCAATGTCACCTCACTCTCAGCAGGCAGGTGGAAGAGATGCCAAGTGAGAAGCAGCTGCTGCTGCTGCTGAACTCTCTCTTACTGGAGATGCTTCTCATTCTCCATCAGAGGCAGAAGCAGCCTGTGGTGACCACACTGCTGACTTAGGCACTCCCTGAAGAAGGATGAAGCTGTCTAATGCAGAGTTATCTATTTTGTTCATGCTGAATAATCTTCTTTTGGCCCTTCTTACACCAAGCAATCTGTACACCTGTGGGCTGCAACTCCTGTTGCCTTATCCCTGATGCTACACCCTCCCACACTCTGGAGGAAATTTATAGATACGTCAACACAATTTCTTAGAGTGAAACAACTCTTTAATAAAGTAAATGTTGGGAATTAATAGGGGAACTGCTCTCTTTTTGCTGCTGAAAACCAAGGAAAACCCTATTGGTGCATTCTATTAAAAGAGCCTGAAAATAAATTATATGCTGCTCTTATGATGACAGCCATACAGATTTATATTATTATTATAATAAATAATTATACAGTTATTCAAAGTAATTTTGTTATTTGGCTTTCAGGGGCTTATCACCCAAAGGAACAAGGACAAAGGACAAAGACCTGATCTTTCATATGAAAGATAAAGATTCATAAACTGTCTAACCAGCCACTTCACTATGCATGGAGAATAAAACCATTTTTATGCAAATAGAAACTGAGACCAAAATGTATTTTTCCTTCACCTCCTTTGTACTTCATTAATAAATAAATCATAAAGATGCCACTGGAGACCACATAGAAGAGGTCTCAAATGGTAGAAAAAAGAGCTCTCTGCATTTGTCTATTTTTAATTTCAAAAGGTATTCCGAATTTATAAAAGAAAAGGGAAAGAAAGCATACTGCTCTTCACATGCCTGATTTCCCAGGAGTAAAAACAACCTCTATGTCCTTTAGTAATAATACAACAAATTTTCAAAAACAAACACAAGTAAATGAAGATTAAACTATGATCCGTGAACTTAACTGAGATTCGCATTGTCCAAAGCTCTTCAAACTCAAATTACTACCAGACAGTGAATCTTTTTGGCTAATTTATGCAACTAAAGTTTAGATGATAGCTTCTTCCCTCTCCCTTTTCATTTTTTTGGATGGAGAGACATTCTTCAGTCATAGTGCTGGAAGTTCTACACGTAAAAGGTAGAAGATGAATAATAATTTGTCATTTTTCATAGATGTTCCATATCGGGTACAGTGCTGAGAGTACAGTGTAGAAAGTGAGCAGGGAAAACCAATCATCTTTGTGTTGAATAATAGATCAACATTGAATTTGTCTGTCATTTGAACAAATACCCAAAGGTAACTACAGTTGTTTAGAGTCAGAGATTTTTAGTCTTCAGTAAACAACATAAAATATCCCAATTGTAATACAGAATTCTCTGTACATCAGTCATATCACACTGAAAATTGAACAAGCATGTATGTTTTAGCTAAGAGGGGCACAAATTTGGAGCTGGAAGAACTAAGTCATGGATATTGTCTACCAAAAAAAGGGGTTACTCCAGAAGAGATGTTACAAAATAGTTAAGGTTTAGATTACACAATTTGTATGTGGGACAACTTCACTTGGAAGTGAAGTTCTTAGTAGATATTTCAGCTCTTATTGTGACCTAAGGGAAAAAAGCCTTTGTCTAAATTGGGTGAGATTCCTGTAAATGCTGCATTTTGGGGCCGTGATTGGTACTCCATGCTCACTGGGAATGTGGGGGAGATAGATTTGAGTGCCTGTGGTGGGACCTGAAGGGAATGTGGGATGTGCTCTGTGAGCTGGGACCCTTTCCACTACTTTCCATGGGGACTTCTGGAGAGTGGAGCTCAAGCCATTCCACCCAATGGAGCACAGGTGATTTGCTTGCTGTGATAATCCTGGCAGCAGGATTATTCAGTGGATTTGTTTTCCTGACCTTAACCCTTCTGATGGCAATCATTACTCTCCAACTCTTCCTCCCCTACTTGCTGGACTGAACAAACTTGGTGTTCTTCACATCTGTCAACCAACAGGTTCTCCATCCTGCTAGTCATCTGAACAGCAACTGAAATACAAGCCCATATATCTGCAAGAGTAAATGTCTCTTTTCATTTTGAACCAGGGAAATGCAATGTTTAACCATGCAGGAGTAAGCTGAAGGGTGGCATGTGTGAGGAGGAAGAAATTATTTAGGCAGCTCATATTGTGAACTAGCATGATGTTTTTCGATGGGAAGAAAGGGAAAAAATCCTTTAAAGCTATCTAGGAACATCACCAGATACACTGTTTGAACTGTTAGTTAATGGTAAAATGAAATATTTCCTACCCATGAAAGTACAAAGCATGTATTGAATCAGATTCCAAAGACGATGTAGTATGATAAGAAATGCCAAAAGTGTTATGCAGAATGCTAACTCCTGTGAGAAAATAAGAAGAGTGCTTCACCAGTGTTGTCATCACATGAACTAGTCATTATCACTATGTTCCGTGAAAAAGCTCTGTTTCCACAGCACTTTTCCGTGATATACTTTAATTAGAGGAGGGGAGTAAATACAGTGGTGTGAAGAACATTAGCTGGGGTTTAAAAAAAAAATAGGGGAATATAGCATTTCAGAGTGGGTTGTGTAAAACCACATGCAGGAAAAATACAAAGTTGAAGTTCACATACTTGAAAATGATCACAGCCCCACGACAGCAGTCATTTCCTTTGTGACATAGACACATCTCAGCTCAGATCCTTAAATCTGACCACAGCATCATCTCATGGCATCACCCTCACTTGTCTGCTCTCTCACTCTGCTTTTTCTATTCTTCTGCACTTTTCTGCTTCTTGTGCTTTCCCATCTCTTGCTCTGTCTCCAGCCCATCGGCAATCTCATCCTCAGCTGTTTCCCCTGCTTCTTTCTCCCACTTCACCAGAACCATGAGCTACTCTTCTCAACATCCTCCTCCTTCTTCCAAAATGTCAGTGTCACCTGTGATCTGGGAAAATATTGAGATGCAGCACCCCCAAACTCACATGCCAACAGGAACCAACATCTTTCCTATGTGCCTGTTTTTGCTCCTGGTACTCAATGAAGAAAGCTGGGTACAAGGCTGCTGTTCTTTTTCAGACAGCTACCCACATCAAATACAAGTTTTGTCCTTTTTCTTCTTGTTGTGGCTGAGGGATGCACCACTTAGGCAAGCTCCCAGGAAATTAATCTAGTACAGAATTTACTTTTCTATGGTGAGGTTAGGCTGCCTGTTCATTAGTGTAACTGATAAGAAGAAGCAGCACCAATAAATTTTACTGTGAATTGACTTTTTGCCAGCTCATTTCGAGTATACTTAAGAAGACAATATCATAGTAGATTTGATAATTTTAAAGTAATTTTGTTTTCAATTCCACTTAAATATTCTCAAATCAAACCCTGACTTGAAAAACAGACACTGAAATCTAGTGGTCAAATGCTGCTTTTGTTAAAAAGTCAGCAAAATCAGCCACCAAATCCAAGTGTCACTGACTGAAACTTCTAGAAGACAAGTTCCCCTTTTATCAGATCTCTGTGAACTCCTAACTTTTTGCCTGGCACATGATTGTTTATCTATTGTCATACAATCTGTAATTGTTGACTACCTAGCTCCTTATGTATGCTATATAGTCATCTCCAGACTTAAAGGAATCAGCATGAAATACTTAATACCCACTTTTGCTTTCTGTCACACACATATTCATAATCTCCTCTCATTGCACACATACAGGTAATTGCTTTGTTAAAACATGCAGCTAGAACCTGTAAATTTTGATGTTCAGTTTACAGTGTGCTGCTCATGGGTTGGTCACCAGACACTGGAGCAGGACCTGGTGTGATGTGCAAATCCTTGCACAGCTCCCTCAACTCTGCTATTTATATCTTTGGCCCATGTGGAATTTGTATACATGTGCTGAAGGAAGATTATTCAAATTCAGGTTGTACCAACTCTAATATTGTCATTTTAAGGAAAACAACCTCCTGTACTCAACAAGTCAATATCTGTTATCCTCATGCTGCTGAGTGTCTAACACTGAATTGAAATGTATTCTCTTCATGCTCTCGTTTAATCAAGTCTCAAGAATCCTTGGAGCAAACTCTCTGCCACAGATCTGAACCCAGGAAATCACACTCCCTACTGAGAGGCAATCAAACACACAAGAAGGCTCTGGGTGTTTGCATAGCTTCATGTTCCCATGGGGAAGCACTCCAGGTGCAGCCACAGAGCTGCAGAAGGCGAAGCCAAGCCATAGCTGCTCAACCAGTCCTGGTGGGACAGCACATACACGGACTGTCAGCAGGTGATGAGAGTAATCTCATGCACAGGATTTCTCTGGCACTAACACATGCAAATATCTGATGTGCACTGGCCCCTCCAACAGCTCCTGTGCGTGAGTAACTTGGATAACAGCTGGCACAAGCAAGGTGCACTGGCAGGTAAGCACAAGCAACCACCAGCATGCTGCTTTGAAGCTATAGTCAGCCTGTCACATATTGAAACCATCTATAAATCCAGCGGATTTGCTGCAACGACAGTTTGTGCTGTTTTCATATGTTTGAAATTGTTCTTATTCTTTAGCATGCAGAGGAAAATGAAGCCACATTTTCCTTAACAGTTGCTGTTCCCGCCTTGCTGCATGTCACAGCCCTCTGGGGTGACTTGGGAAGCACTGACCTTGGACGTCGCTGCAGTGGCATTACTTTCCTTACCACTCCCTGGTGCACTCTCCTCGATTGTTGCTGCTTCTGTCGGGGCTTCTGCCTTCTTTGCACTTGTTTCCAGAGAAACAGGAGTCCCTACTTTCCCCAGCCCACTCACCGGGCTTGGACTGCTTGCTTGCCGTGACTGTGATTTATACCAGCTAGGGTAAAACAAGGGGTCGGTGGTTTCTGCTGTGGCCGGCACTTGAGTGTCAGACTCAGGAGTCTGTTGAGAACCACTTGGTGTCACAACAACATCCTTAATCAGGACAGATAAAGAGAAGAACAAGCAGAGTGCACCACGTTACCTTCCTGCTGTAGTCACATTGTTCTGCATGTTGTGTTTGTTAGATATCACTGCAAGGCATAGATTTGTCCTACTAATATGATCTGAAAGAATTGCAATCAAAATGCAAAGTAAAAGCAACTATCATTTGAATAACACAGACAAGAGAAAGAAAATAAATGAACCCTAAAATAGAACAGCAGGGTAAAACTAACTGGGAAGGGCGTGCTAACTGAGAAAGGAGTGAGCAAGGGGTTCCTTAATTCAGATAAACCCTCAATTCAGCTCTAAAAACTTAAGAAATTCTGCGTAAGAGCCTCATGAACCCATACCAGCCATGAATAACAGGTCAAAAAATCGCTTGTTGGGTTTTAGGTTAAGAATAACATTTTTGCCAATGAGTCTGTTGATCTGAGCAGTCAGAAAAAAGGGAATACTGGAGAGAAGCATTTGCCCATGAGCCTTGCCATCAGTGCTGTAAGTCAAGCACTGTTGCTTTGCAAGGAAGAGGAGCAGCCAGATGACTGCACCTCCCTACCTGCATCAAGCTCTTGGTACCACCACTGCATTTCTGCTTTGCCTTTTTACACCAGAAGGCAAAGCCCCAAATACAGGTATCCCCCACACCACAACACCCATATACCATGTCTGACTCCACGCCTAGATATCTCCTAATGGCATTTTACAATTTCTAGAGTAGCATGCTGTACCTTTCTCACTTTAGCCTTAGAAATTAGAGAATTCATATTGGTGGGCAGAATTACTTATGTCTAGTTCTTGGTTGCATAAAACCTTGTATCAGTTAAGGAACGCAAGTTTAGTTAAGTCAGTACAAATCTTCCAGTTTTAATTAAATCAGTAAAGCCTGCTTTAAGACCATCTTCACATGACTGGTGAAAACTCACACTTGTTTTTAGGTCAAAGAAAGAATTAATATATAGCATTTGTTTTTACTTGTTTTATGTGGAGAGCTTGCTACAATCAAAGATCCTTTGTGTGCTTTCTTGTTTTTACATAGGGTTCCTCAAATACATTCACAGCAGCCTTTAGCTCCTTAGCAACTTCACTGAGTAAATTGTCTAAGAGGAGAATTTGCTAAGTTAATGGTACGTAAGGCAAACTACAGTAGCACATGAAGTATATTTTTAAATATATGTTTTTTAGAATACAGCAATTATGGTCTCATTCTAACCAAATTCCCTAAGAAAAGTGTTGGCCTAAAATAGTCACACCTTGAATCTGTTTGCTGTTAGGTTGTAAGAGGCAGTTTCCTCTCCTGTTTGGTGTATGATATTCCTGCATCTACCTAAACATATCCCAAGGATGATCAGAGCAGAAGGCAGCAAGCACCATTCACAGAAAACAGATTAGAAGGATAATCTGAAAACTGGTGGTGGAAAGCTTCCTAAATCCAGAGGGAATGCCAAATTCTCTTAGTATAAATATTTTAACAATCATCGCATCTATAACAGTTAGTTTGAGTTAAATCACAGCAAGCAGAACATTCGTTGTAATGCACTAAACTCCCCAATGGAGTCCTTTTTATTTATAACTTATGTATCCCATATATATCTTAATTTATCTACCAGCTAATTTTCTGCTTATCAAGTGATAGACACACAAGTGGAAGTAAAGTTCTATATATGTGTACAAGGGCAATAAATAATTTTTTCCCTCCAGTGCATCGACTCCCTTAGCCCTGCTCCTCCCTTATGGTGCCCAGAGGACACAGGGGAGCATTTTCCAGCTCTGCCAGGTGCACTCAGCATAGCTGGCAGGGCAGTGGGGCAGCAGAGACATTTACCTGACCAGCTGAGGCAGCCAGCACTGGCGCTGGAGTGGGCTCAGCCAGGGGCTCTCCCCCTGCACTCTGTGCTTCAGGATCCTGCTGAGGTGGCTGTGGTGCTCTCTCTGCCCCTTCCTCTTCTACCTCTTCCTCCTCTTCTTCCTCTCCTGATGACTCTGTGTGGACTTCCCCCAGGCCTTCGCCATCCTCTGTCTCCTCCTCTTCTTCTTCTTCCTCTTCCTCTGATTGGACACATGTAAAAGGATAGGTTGAGCACCATGTGAAGATGGCTTCAGTCTTTAGGTAATTAAAAAGCCATTTGCAATTGCACAGCAAAGTCTCTGACAATCTTCTGCCTGGCAGAGAGGGTGTTGGTGAGGAGCCTGCTCCCACCAGCCTGGACTGGGCACCACCATGGAGCTGCCAGCAGGAGCCTTGGGGCAGGAAAGACACTGAACACACATGGTTAAAATCTTAGCTGGCCCTTCCCATAGGAAGGAGAATATAAATTCCCATCAATGCAGTTATCCTCATGAGGGATGTGCAGCACAGCGCTGCACGTTTGGGGAAGAGGCTACCTGGGATCTGTCATGAGAAAAGTCTTTCTGCCAGTTCTAGGTATATGTTTGTTTTAATGCCATTGAAGCTGTCCTCATAATTCTTTACCAGGTCAGTGCTTTGCAATGCAGGACTGGAGGTTTGAGACACCAACATACCTAAACCAGACTGTCAAACCTGGTCAAACCATTGCTTTTGTGCCATCTGACATATCCTGTGGTCTGCAGTCATGGCTCAGGCTGTTTCCAGAGGGAGGCCTCTAGCACTGGATTTTCTTTAGTAAAATCACGCTAGTTATCCTAAAAAATGTGCAGGGCCATCCTAGCACTTCAGAGAAATAAACCTAGATTTGATTATAGTTGATACATAATGCTCTGGTTACATTTTGGCATAGAGAGAAATACCTGATTCGAGGTTTCCTACTTGGTGTCATCATGTGAATCACACACAGCTGCTATATAAGAACAAAATTTTGGTGAAATTAATCAAATTACATACCTCTGTCAAAATCAATTTCTCGTATTATTTTTTCTTCTCTACTGAGGTTCACTGTGAATTGGTTCATATTTTCATACCCATCCTCTATTTTTTCCATTTGAAATCCTTTAGAAGCTTCAGTAATTCTAAAATAGAGATTGGTTATTGGCATTGGATTTGAAGAAAAAATTTAAAAATTGGGATGCTTACTTTTGTAGCAATGTTTTGGCATTCTGTGGAAACAAAAAAGAAGTAACTGACATCTCAAATGATTCAATTTTTTCAGAGATTTTATGCATTGAGGAATAATTCTTACACTGGCAGTTTCTAAAAGCACTAATAGGGATTTCATAACTGACAGCCATGACATCTAGGAATGAGATGGACTATGGATGGTAATTAGTATACAGCTGAGTAAAACTTGTAGTTCTTCAAAGATGTTTTAATTAAAATGGTTCCCTATTAATCTCTCTTAAATTTTCAGTGAGAAAACAGAAGAGAAAAAAAAAAGTAAAGGTACCAAAATGTAACTTAGCACATAAATTACTGAACAGTCAATAATTTTGTGAATTTACAAGTGAAACTTGTAATTCTCAGAAGTTCATGTACACATAAACATATTGTCCCACCATGGTACTGGTGGGAAAATAAAGATTACCTGGAAAATGTTTAAATTCTTATATCTTACAAGGGGACCAGAAATTAATACATAGGATAGTATATTTTGGTGCAAATAGCAAATACTCGTGTTCTTGATTTGGATACTATTCACAAGAAGAGTAGTTATTTTTCTGAGCTGATTCAGGTGTTTAAAAATGAGTTTGTATAAATGTTCACTTGCAGTTAAACTCTGAATGGGCCTACAATTGAGAAATGCTTAAATAATATATCAATAAACCCATCATTCTTTTTCTCTCTCTATTTATAGACTTTATACCTGCAAAAACACGGCCATTTCTGGTTCTTCCATGAACTGGATTCCTGATTCAACCAGTTTTGACACAGCTTCCAAGTGATCCGCATACTTCTTTATCAGGGAGCGGACGTGTTCCAGTTTCTCCTCTTGGGTTCTAGTGATTATTTGTGTCATCTCATTTTTTCTTTCTTCCAGTACAGAATAGAGATAATCAAATTTTTCACACAACTGCTCTTTCTGTCGTCTGCAGCATTCCTGTGAATCATTTGGTTTATGTTAAACATGTTATGTTCTTAAAAGGCTTTCTATTTTTACAGTTACTTGGAAGCATTTTCATCAAAGAAATTCCTCTTTCTGAACAGTGCAAAGGATTCTGAATGACCCCAGAGACTTTTATAATTTTCAAAGTCCAAGCTGCTGGAACAAAAGTTTAAAAACTCTTCTCAAACTCTGAGTTTCAAGCCACTGAAAGCCCCCAAACAGGTTATTGTATAACTTGTGAGTCTGCTAAAAAAAGTAAAAAGGTATTTATGATGTCTGTAGTGATACATCAAAGTCCACAGAAAAAGTAAAAGCTCCCACCGTATTAGCAGCTGGGTCCATTTGCGTGAACAGAATGGTTTTAAAAGGAGCCAGCATCTCAAATAGCCCTGGAGAATTTTCTTTTTCTACCAGAGTACCTGGAACAACCCTAGCTGGGCTTGATTTTCACATACGCCCTCTTAGACTCTGTTTGGACAAGAGGTGTCCATTATATTCCATTTACTGTGCACGGAATGAGGTAGAAGTACTGCAAAGAAAATGGTGTGACAGAAGCACAAAAAGAGGAAGGAGGAATCAGATTCCAACCCTATGTTGAAGCACTGATTTTCACATTGTTTCTTGAGACACTTCTATTGTCCCTCCAAGCAGACAACAGCATTTTTCACTGAGTTAAGAGGATGGGTTTGATGACTACTGCATTGAGCGCTCTTTAAAAAGAACAAACTACACTTGTAAAGGAGGATTTATGGGGAGGAAATGGGGGACAGATTATATATAATGTCTGAAGTCTACCAGATAGGAGTAGTTGAGTCATCTGTGTGCCCCAGGGTATAACCTTACTGTGGTTAGACCTGGTTGTGGATGGTGGTGATTATTTTAATCTCTTTCCTAGGAACTGAGGCTGAATCAATTCTTCATCTTTGTCCCTTGAGGCATAATGCTGAGATTCTGGCAGCACAGGATTATTAACAGTCCCACTGAACTTTTGGTAGTGATAAGACTTATTATTCATAGCACTTGGCCAGAGAGAATCCCACTTTTTTCTTGACTTCCATCCAGAGCTCATTTCTATGAGTGGTCATAGTCTGCTTTGTGTCATTCAAAGGAGAAAGTCTTTCAAAGATCTACATTTGGCTAAAAATCTACGTGAGGGTGGAGAGGGGATTGAATACACATCTCGATGCATCGGCCCAATTATCTACCTCTGCTTCCCAATGAGGAGGGCCAGGCTGAACGGGCATTCCTTTCAGGGGGTGCAAGCTTGTCCTGCCCTTCTGGGAGTCCTTGTGACTTCCCAGAAATTCCTGATTAGTGCAAATTACAGGATGGGGTTAAGGAAGTTTTCAAACCAAATGAGTCATGGTTTCTGAGTGCCCTTCTGTTAGGACCTTAAATAATCTTCTCCCACTCGTCTCCTAGCTTTCTCCCCATGAAATGTCATTCAGATCACTTGTAAAACAACCTTAATTTCAAGACAGGCATGTGCTATCTTTGTCATTTGACACAGGACAAGCGTTAGGGGAAGATGAGCAAACAAGTGATAACAGGGTGCCCTGAGAGATCCTTCCCTGTCTTTAAGCACTAATAGATATGTCCTGCAAGCAGATATTACAGAGTTGTGAATCTAAAGAGTGAGAGTGCAAAACAGGTTTCTAACTGCAAATGCTGAAATATTTCTGAAATATTCTCTTTCTGCATAAAAAGTTTCCATATGAAGTCTCTGCCTGATGGAATTATTCTAATCAGATTCTGTGTAATGAAAAAGGTTAACAAATACATGACTCTGCATTCTAAAAAGTTCTCAGCCTTTTTGTGTTTTAAAGCACAGCTACATCAAAAAGAAAGGAGTCCTTGCTACTAAGCATGAATCTCACTGCTTGTTCCAAAGGACCTGTATTGACTGGCCTATGCTCTTAGCATTTGAAAAAAGCTCTGTAATTTTTCTTTTGTTATTAGATTAATTTACGGAGCTAAACAGAACCTAATAATTGATTGTAGTTTTTGATATTTTGCATTTTATATTCCTTTCTCAATTTTCAGTATAATATGTGAATTAGGTCTACTTTTCAATCAGTGAAAAGCTGTAAAAGTATTTTTTTGCTCTTCTGGTTTTTAAAGCTGGACAGGAGCAATGGATAAATGTAGAACTGTAGGCTATTACTTATCCCAGCTAAAAGTAAAATGATCATGTATTTTCTGCTAAAACAGATATTATTGTTCTCTTCAAAGTGTTAAGCTGAAAGAAGAGACAATCCTGGATTGTGTTATTTCCATGTGTAAACATTTCTGAGTTCCAGCTGTAGTTTCTTGTCTTCAAGGACACACATCAATTCAGACAAAGCTCTGCATATTAGGAAATGTGATTTGCTTGAAATGTAACACGGAAGTGCCAAGGTAAACTCAAAGATCTGTTTTCTGCAATCTTTGATTTTAAAGGTGAAAAGTCTGCAGGTACCTCTGAAGGTAAAAAGGCTGCATTTTCTTTGGGCTTTGACTTTAAGGTTGGATTTTAAACTGAGTGGATGACTCTGAGGAAGCTAGTTTCAGAAACTGTTGTATTTTTAAGGTATTTTTAGCACAGTGTTTTATCCATACTTCAGACTAGGTGTTTGAAGATTTGTTTCTGGTTCAGCTAGTTCAACTTAAATGAGTGTAAGCTTTTGCTTTTGTATAATTCAAATTTCTGCAGTTAACCTACTTGAAAGGCTTGTTTCTGTCTGCAGAGTCCTGAGAGCAGCCGATTTCATCCTTGTGGCGTGAACGCTCCCCAGCTACAAAGTTCTGACTGCCATTAATGTGCTCTCTCTTTTACTTAGGCCAATGGTTTTGTGTTCTTTGAAACAAATTCAGACATTTTCTGTTCCTTCTTGCTCGGAATTGTGTACATAGATTGTGCAATTGTTTTTTCTTACTAATTAGAATCTGTACGTCTTGGATTAACTTCTTTTTCCCTACCATTTCTCCTTTCTGCTCCAGCTCTGAAGGGTCAATATAATTCTAATTGGGCTGAGAGGGATGGGACTCCTTCACTAGATGCTTCATCAAATTCTGATCACAAAATCAATTCATATGAAATCCTTTCAGCATATTGTTCTGTGATGCTCACATTGGTCAAATAGTTGAAGTTTATATTTGCTTTGCTGATGTAAAGCTCTCAGAGGAAGTGAAAGCCACTTCTGCTATTGAATAAACACAAAACTAATTCCAGATCTTCCAGAGTGAGGCCTTCACCAGAAAGAACCCACACTCTTCTCTCCCATGGGCGACAAAGCAGGACTCCTTAAAGGACAGCATATTAAAGTACTACTGTGCATAAGACAACCACATACAGAACAAATACTGACATATCTGTGAACCATGCTGTGCCTACCCTGTGGCTGAGCCTAAAGCTCTGTTCACTGGACCTGTCAGACTTCAGATTAACTGGTCTTTTACAGCTCTGGAATCTGATTTTAGACGTAAAATGAGCTGGGAGTTGATGGCATTTTGGTGGATCTGCTTTTAACTTCATTGAGAGCCTATTCCACTAGGAGTATTGAGCAAGACTTGTTGATATGGATTATCCTTACTCTATGTCCTCTACCATATAGCAAATGTCAGAGGTGCTGAGCAGGATGTACCCTTTGGTTGAGGCAGTACATCTTGATAATGCACAAAGCCATGACGGATGGTTTAGTGAAACAATGTGGGAATGCATTTAGGTAAAGTGAGGTCTGTTAAAGAATAATCATTACCAAAAGTTTAAAAGATGCAATGTCACACTGAAATAACTGCATTTAAAGAGGTGGTACCTACCTCAACCGACTTGCAGGTCTCCTCCAGCTGCGTGACAATCCCTTGCATTCTGTCATTGCTCCCCACCAGGACTGCAATGCCATCACTCAGCTCAGACTAGGCAGTAAGGGGAGAGGAAGCAGAAGGGTGTTAGGTGTTGTCACACTTCAGGGTGACACATCTAACAGTGGGGAGAAGCAGACAGATGAGCCATACCTATGATGTTACTTTGTATTTTCACCAGAACTGAGAAAAATTGGAGCTTTATGTGCCCACAAGATATGTCCTGGTATTTTGACATTTGCTTCCTCCCTCAACACACTATGATGACATCGACATTTTGGAATTTTTAATGGAGAAGTAACTGCTGTTAGGAAAGAGGGAAGTGCTTTGTTCTAGGAAGTTCTTCCAGATGCTTTTGTCTGAAGTGCTGTTTCAACAGGCCATAAATATTTCCTTAGAGTTTGTTGAGAGAAAAGACTCTTGAGGGGTTGTTTTTTCAGTGTCTGGGTCTAGCCACACCACTGTGGTATTTCCCTGAGGACTGTGGCTCTTGGCCTTGGAATAGAGAAGAGGTGGCCCATGGACCTGGAGAGACCAAGGTGTTACAGAGTCCCTGGCATGCAGGAGGTGGGGTTGGAGTTGTGGTGAGAGGGGACAGGAGGAAAGGAGGAGAAGGTAGAGGCTGAGCCACCAGCATGAGGGAAATGAGTGGAGGAAGAAAATAACTTGAATGTGGGGATGGAGATGATTGTGAGATATCCCTAAGAGAGACAAAGAAGCCCGTCCTAGGGAGCTTGGGGAGGATGCTGGGGAGTGCAAGGGGCCCTTGGCACGCTGCTGTAGTAACAGAGACAACTGTATTCATGTTCTCCACAGCTCTGTACAGGATCCTTTGAAGCCTTCATAGCTCTGTAAAGGCTCCTTTGAAGCATGCATCCTGCTCCTGGATCCTGGAGCATCCTGTAGCCTCCAGGTTAAACCTCTCATCTTGGGCATGACAGCCCCTTTCCATGGGCACTCTGGAAAGGAAGACATCTTGCAAATCTCCATGCAAAATAAGCGATTGGGGGCATGGATTCAGTCCAAGAAACTTCTCCTTCTTCTCCTTCTTCTTCCCACCTCCTTCTTCTCCCTCCTCTTTTGATTGAAAAGAATGTTTTTAACTCCTTTCCTAAAGCAACTCCTCATTTGTAGTTTGCACACACACACGCATCTGTGTGATGAAGTTGGAGGCTGGGATTGCAAACTTGGCCTGTCTGATTGCTTGCCCCACTGGGGCCCTCCAGAAAAATGAGCTGTTTATCTCAGGAGGATAACCCAGTGAGTCAGGTTTTAAATTAACACTGTATTAAAAATAAACAAGTCTTTTACTGGTGACAGCAAGGGCAGAAGATGTTAGGTACATCTTGTGCTGCCAGCTATTGAATATTCCTTCATTCATTGCAGGAGGAGGTTTTTCACTTAACTTTTCTTAAAAATGGCATGCCTAAATGTAAAAGTGTCTGATAGATAACTATTTGATTTGAAATGGCCTGTTGTCTTTCCAGTTCTTAGTATTGGAAATACCACTTGTTTGTCTGATCTAAAAGCAGTGCAAAAAAGGGATTAGGAAGTAAAAAGAGAGATCCTCAGTTCCACATCAGAATTGGGACAAATTGTAATATCTTTTTGTGTGATCTCTCATAAATTTATTTTCCCGTGTTTCTAAACAATTTCTACAGATTTATAAGACAATCTTCCTTTCAGTTGGGGTTGCTTTTGCCGCTCTTTGCCACACACAAGAGTGGCAAAGGCAACCCCAGACCCATTTGGAAACTTGCAGGAAGCTCATGGGAATACTTTCCTGTTGATGGTCCTGTCAGTTTCTTCAAGGACTTTGAGAAACAAAAAGATATTTACCTTCTGTTGCTGGTAAACATTTGTGAGAGGAGCAACCTGACAGTCTTTGTGGGCACCAAAGATTTTACACAGGGAGCAGGTGGGCATTTCACAGTTCAAGCAATAAATATTAATTCTCTCATCTTCGTGCTCTTCACACATTGGCTGGTCACACTTCCTTTCAGGTCTGCAAAAGAAATCATTTGTTTAAAACAAAGATGGTGCTCATGAGTTTCTGATAACAACACTTAGAGTGTTAGCATGAAATATGGTACATTTGTGTAGCAGCATCCAAGGTTGACTAAGTAGTGTAGATTTAAACCTGCCACATGGGATGACTAAAGAGACAATGGTACAGCTTAATGTCATGACACAATATGATGTGATGACAACATAACATGACTTCATATGGGGATTCCCATATGAATGAGGAATGTGACTGGGAGTGACAGAACGCTTGCTCATATTTAAAAATTTAAATAACCTCACTAAGCCTGGACTCAGACTACTCATGTATTTTAATTAGCGTGTTATCTAACATCTGTCTGAAATATGCAACATATGTAATTTCTTTCTGGTTCATCATGCCAATTGTTGTATACTTCGCTTAATGCAGCAAAGCTGTTATGGAGGAGACTGATTTTAAGCAAGAGTTGTAGATACTGATAAACCTTTAGGCCTGTAACTCTAAATCTCTGCTGCTGAGCTTTGTGAGGCCCTGGTCAGTACTGTCAATATCAAACAACACTGGGTCCTTACAGCCTTTACATTAGGCCAGCAACCAAAGCAAGGTGTCACACAAATTAATTTCAGTCAGGTGGCACATGTCTAACTTCACAGTGTCAAATTGTAGCTCAGTCTGATCTTGTCTTCACCAAAACAATTTAGCTGTACACACACGAGTCTGCACAACCTGCTATCTTAGGATAATTTAGTTGTAGCTTCTTTTAAATGAGCCACTTGACCAACATTCCCAGTGCAAGTGACAGCTTTGGTGTGGTGTGTGTGGGCAGGGTGGCACTTTCCTGAGCCCACACTTCAGCTTTAGCACTCTGAGCACATCTGTGGCAAACATGAGTGTGTAAGGATGTGGTACAGAAGAGAGGGGCCAGGAGACTGATGGAAAGAGTGTGTCTGGGGTTCAAGCCTTCAAAGCTACTGTGGCAGTATTAAATATTTTCAGCATAAACCATTATCCCCTTCTGCTACTGTTTGGAAAGAGAATTATGACTTACCTGTAGCAAGTGGAACAATCAATTCATAAAAATTTTTTTTTCATCATTAGAAACTGTGGAGTTTAATGGAATTACATGGGAACTTTTCTTAAAACTTTTCTACGTAGCTCTGTATCAAGGAGGCAACCAGCCATTCTATTAAAGCTTAAAATATTGGAAAAAACCCATTATTTTATATTATAGTAGAGTTTTTCCATACAGTTTGGTAGAGTGGATATGGCATTTTTTAAAAAAATGACAAAGTACAGATTTTCTCTTCTGAAGGGAATGGAATATGATCAGTTAGATGCATTTAAAAAAATATCTGGCAAGAAACAAAATGTCTTACACATTCATGTTGTTTTTTTAATTCAAGAGTGCCCTGGGATTTAAAAGGTTCATACAGAAAATCTGTAATGTGCCATATAACATGATACACCAGAATAAAACAAGACAAACACTTGTGAAGAAAGCCTGTGTTATTTTGGGTCATATTTCCAGCATTCGTTAACATAAGGCACTTTGTCAAATCCATTATTGTTTCAATGCTAATCAAAAGAGGTGTGTCTCCTCCATAAAAAATGCTTTACATTGTTTGGAGATTACTGCAAACAGCCCCTAATATATTCATGTCATAGTGCACCAGTGGGACGGCCCATGTGTAAGTGCAATACAATGAATTTCAAAGTGATTAATTAAGCCTGAGATAGCAGCTCTTCCTACAGATATTTACAAGATCAGAGCCAGAAACTACTAGAATTTTATTGGACACTGGAACGGTGCCACTTGCATGAAAGACACCTCACACAGAGGGAAAAGGTGACGGTGTCAAGCAAGTTCAGCCAGAAGCAGCCAACCTTCAAAGGAGCCGCCAAGAGCTGGAAGCAAGCTGGCAGAACTCCCTGAACTAGTGGGGCCCTGAAGACAGTGTCAGAAGACTAGAAATAAACAGATTTACAGTCTCCTCCCCAGGCAGTGCAAAAGGTAAGATTTTTAGCACACCTGACTTCAGACGGGATCCTCCAGATCTATGTTGTGGTAGCAAAGGCCAAAACACAACCTTTAAGTTTAAAATGGAGACTGTTTATGGAACAAGAGATTAAAGATTATGACTGCACACGGCTTTAGTAACAGAGAAGATTCACTACAGCTGTGCTGGTGACCAGAGAAATGTCAGGTTGCTGAAATGTCTTGATAACTTCATGGTCTCATTCTTGGACTCTTCTCTTTGAGATTCTAAGCCTGTGTTTGACTGCCAGAGTCTTATCCCATTGAAATTGTGTTTGGACCACACCTGAAGAACTGACTGGGTTCTTTTCTGGACTTCCCAGTACATGAAGACATTGACACACTGAAAGGAGTCCAAAAAAGCACCCTGAATATGATTAAGTCTACAGCAGCTCTCCTGTGAGGAAAGGCTTGAGAGAGCCAGAACTTTTAACCTAGATCAAAGAAGGATAAGGGGAATCTTAACAATTACTTTAATCTTATCAATACCTTCAGTTATCTAAATACCTAATGGAGGATGTAATGAGGATGGACTCAGGCACTTTTCAATGCCAGAAGCAGAGGCAATGGGCACACACTGAAACTCTAAAGATCAGGAAACACTTTTTTACTCTGAGAGTGACTGAGCACTGGCACAGGTTGCCCAGGATGGTTGTGGAGTTTCCATCCTTGAAGGCACTCATAAGCCATCTGCACATGGTCCTGGGCAACTGGATCCAGGTGGTCTGGCTTGAGCAGGTGGACCAGAACTCCAGAGGTTCCTTCCAACCTCAGCCATTCTGTGACTGTGATTTGGTGAGGCAGTGCAAAGTTGCTGGGCAGATAAAGAAGCACACTTTGATTAAGAACATAGTAAGACCTTAGGAAAACTGCTGTTAGAAAGCATGCTTTCTGTAGGATTTTTTCAAAGCCAAAAAGACCTCTACTGAAGTCCTGAATCTAATTTTGATAGTGTTTTTACTGAGGATCCTAAGACAGCTGTAGCCCTTCCTGTGGCATCACATCACCTGGTGTCTGCACCTGGTCAGGGGATGGAGAGGATCTGCTTGACTCTGTGAGACAGAGTCAGGCCATTAGTGAAGATATGAAACTGCATTTGCCACAGTATCGATCTTGGGCATACAGTGCTAATGACTGGCCTCCACTTGGCTTCATGCTGCTCACCACAACCCTTTCAGTCTGCTAGTACAGCCAGTTTTTGGTCCAGTTCACTTTCCACTGTCCACTCTAGGCCTTATTTCCACAGGTTTTCAATAAAAATGTCACAGGAGACAGTGTCTAAAGCCTAGACAAAGTATATACTGCTCTCCTCTCGTGCCCTGGGTTAGTCATCTCACTATAAAAGGCTATCAGATTGGTCATGTTGATTTACTCTTCGTAAATTCATGCTGGCTATTTCTAATCACCTTCATGTCATGTATATATTAGGAAGTGGTTTCCAGGAGGGTTTGCACGAGATACTTTCTAGGGACCAGTGTGCATGACTAGCCTGTAGTTCCCTTGATTCTTCTCCTTGCATTCCTTGAGGATTGGAGGAACATTTGCTTTCTTCCAGTCCAGTGCACAGGAAACTGTTCCAATTACCACAGCCTTTCAAAGATTATTGAGCATTACCTTGCAATAATATGTCAGCTCCCCCACCACTTACAGATGCCTCCCATCAGGGTGTCCAGTTTTCTTTTTTTATATTTTCTAATCTGATCCCCTTCCACCAAAGGTGAGTCTTCATTGTTCTAGACTTTCCCACTGGTCTCAGGGTACTATGATTCCATAAAACTCAACTTAATAGTAAAGTCTGAGGGGAAGGTGGCACTGAATACACTGGCCTTTTCTATGTCCTGTGTTACATGAGGCTCTGCTTAGTAGTGAGCTCACGCTTTCCCTAATCGTCCTTCTGCTGTAGATGCAGCTGTAGAAGCTCTCATCAGCACCCCTGTCCCTCATCATAAAAAGCTCCAGGTGGACTTTGGCTTTTCTAACTTCATCTGCATGTGCTTGGGGAGTGCCTCAAAATCTTGCTGAATCACCTGCCTTCTTTTTGCTTCTTTTTTTATGTTTTATCTTTATCAGGAGCTCCTTCTTAATCAACAGGTATTTTGTCACCATTGCTTGAGTTCCTGTATATGGGGATCGACTATTTTTGACCTTGCAGGAAGGTGGTCCTTGAAAATCAGCCACAATGATGGACTCTCTCAAAAGCAATGAAAAGCCCACCAATACCCAGGGTAGAAATGGGGCTTGAAAAATGAGAAGGCTATAGAAGTTCATGTGGACATAAGAATTCCTGCAGCTCTGTTACACTACTATCATAAATACCCAGCCCAATAAAGCTTTTGGTGCAGGTGAGCTTGGGGCTTTATCTTGTGGGGAGTTGGAGAAGATTCAGATGATCTCACTCCTCATCTTTTTCACGGCACAGCTTGTGGAGCTCCTCCTCTCTTGGTGACCTGTGACCAGGGAGCACATTTCCCTGGCCCAGCCTGTGTGATATCCCCAGATGCCCCTGCAGCCTGGCCTAGAGAGACACATCCTGCCTTGGGAGTTTGGGCTAAGCCCATGGAGCTGTCAGGGACAGAGATTTCTGGTGGTGCTGGCTATGGGGCCCTGCAGGACATCAGCACCATCACAGAGCCCACGAAGGCTGCTCTCAGCACAGCCTGGTCCCTGCTGCACACTCTGCTCCATCCCTGCTGCAGGGACAGCCTGTTCCTCAGGCTCTCCCTGGTAAGTGCAAGGCAGAAAGTGTTTGACTCTCCCTGATCAGGATTCAGCTGGTAACAAAGCCCAAAGCACCTTTTGATCTGGAATAGCCAGCTGAGATCATTAGAACCTGTCAGATTTCACAAAAAGTCACAGCCTCCCATTGCTACTCTTTCCTGGTGATAGCGGGGGACCTGATGTTCCTCAGATAGTTTAGGTGATCAGTGCCCTACAGATTTTCAAAGACTGGTTTAATTTTTAGCCAACTCAATTTCCACTGTTTTCAGTCCTTTTCTGTCTTTTAAAGCTTTTTACAAGCCACCTCCTGCTTGAAGAATTCTTCCCTTGTGTTACCAACACATTCTAAATTGGGCAACAGGCTATGCTGCCATCAGCTGGAATTTGATGAGCAATAGGATAAAAGACCATATGATGTGATACTTAGTAATAGGAGGGGCTGCATATGAGGGCTCAGTGGACTCTCCCAACCTCAGTCCAGCTCCTGCCCCAGTTTTTATTAAAAAACCTCAATTCCTTAATTCAAATAGAAAATCCAATTACAAAAAAACCCCAAGCAACCAAACCTTTTGAAATAAGCTATTTTTGCTTAAGCAGGACTCAAAGCTTTCTCCCTTTACTGTCCCTTTACTCTAAGTTCACGTGAAATGCAGATGGGAGCTGGCCTCATTCTGGCACATACAGTGCCAGTTATAGTGAATTATACCCACAGGAGAACTCGATGGGAAGAGGTTCCTGTCTGGAAATCACACGTGCTGCCAGTTTGAAGGATTGTCTTGGGAAGAACAAGGAGGCAAAGATCACATCTCACCCTTCTTCCTACGTATCTCTGCCAGACCCCAGTTGTCAGGATGGAAGAGACAAAAGGAAGACGTGGGGAAGACTTGACTTCCCTTGACTTTTTGCTTTCAGTGGGACAGCACAGGGGGAAAAGCCATGAAAGATCTGCTCACACTCTCAGGGAAGCCCAAGGAATGTTAGGCAGAGGGAGATAAGCAGCTGAGGCCCACAAAGGGTGGAATAGTTTAGATAATGCTGCTATGCATTGCTGCTACTATGTAACCCTGGCAATAACTTTCATTCTAAGGACGTACATGAAGGTTAAATAAGTATCTTAACAGATTAAATAAATCTTTTGGACAAATATATAAGCAAATCTATGTTCTTTTTTTTCTCCCGTTTTATTAATCATGTGTTTTACTTTCATGGAATTAAAAAAGTCTACTAAATCTATTCTTACTTTTTTTTTAGTTAAACACAGCTGTGAGCTGAAAAAAAAGCAAAACCAAGGAAGACATGAGGCCACACATGTCCAGCTTATTTGGTCAAAACCAAAGTCCACCATTGCGGCTTTGTTGATTCATTTCCTCTGAGATTTTCCTGGCTAAAATAATATTTGAGTATCAGTGACACACACAGGGGTAGCTGACCTTTACTTGGCATGGAGCGCAAAGGGCAGGAGAAAGGACAATTTTAAGCCAACTTCGTGCTCTCGAGTGCTTTGGAGCTCCAACCTATGCCCAGCTGTGACAGTCCTCAGAGAGATTCAAACAGCTGAGAATAGCCAAAGGCACTGTCAGGCTCCAAAGCTTTCTCTCTGCTGGTGACTGTCCTCCTCTGCTGGAGGAAGCATCCTCAGGGATCCCAAGGACTGAGTTCTGGGTTCTGTTGGTTGTGTCCACCTGCACCAGTGATGCCATCTCTCTGCCCTTGGGAAACCCAGCTCCTTTTGTGGTGGGGTCAGAAGACTGCCAGGGAGCATGGCCAGGATTACACCTTCCAGGTGAACCAAACACCTTGCCATACAGAACCAACTCTAAGGATCCATACTGGTGACAAAAACCAGCTTCCCTGGGCGAGAGCTCCTTTCTTAGTGGCCTGGGGCCAGGTTAACTCCATCACAGAATCACAGAATTATAGAATGGTTTGGGTTGGAAAGGACCTGAGAGACCATGTAATTCCAATCCCTCTACCCTGGGCAGGGACACCTTTCACTAGCCCAGGTTGTATGAAGCTCCATCCCTCCTGGCCTTGAACACTATTAGGGATGGAGCATCCACAACCTCTCTGGGCTATCTGTGCCAGTGCCTCACCACCCTCATAGAGCAGAATTTCTTTCTATTTCTAATCTAAACCTACACTCTTTCAGTTTAAAGCCTTGTCCTATCACTTCATGCCCTTGTCAAGAATCCCTCTCCAGGTCTCTGAGCATCTTTGCGCCCCTCCTCTGGACTCACTCCACAGGTCCATGCCTTTCTTTTGCTAAGGACTCCACAGCTGGATGCAGTACTCCAGGCGGGGTCTTATAAGAGCAAAGTAGAGGGAAAAGATTATCTCCTTCACCTTCTCCCCTACTAAGTTCTCCACAGAGGTACCATGAATCCAACCCATCCCAAGGAAATGAAGATGAGAAAACATTTTTCTGTTTCTGGATCCATTACACATCAAATGCAAGAAATTACCATTCAGGAGCAATCTTACTTTTTAGAATGAGCCCATTCCTCTGCCCTGAGGTCTTGATTCTAGTACACAGACACACAGCTCTGATACATATTGTTTACCACTCTTCCTTCTCTTTTATGGACTCCTAAATAGGACTTGATTTCATAACTTCACATCCCAAACTGACAGGAATGGAGATATTTTTAACAGAATTTTCATTTGGCATTATGAGGCAGGGTACCTTCTGTGTGAAATTCGGTTTTCTTCTTGTTTGCACTGTCTGTACCTCAGGATTTTCTAATAAGATTTAAAATCCTTTCCCTTCTTTAGCATGAGAGCACACAGGTTAAAGAGAAAAAATAATTGTCTGAACTGGTTTTGCAATAAATGATGTTAACCAAGATTAACCAACTTTTCCCTTGATCATGTGAGTAGCTGTGCTGACCTCAAGGGCCTTGCTTGCAAAGGTAAGTGGTGCTCATGTGAATAAATCTGGCCCAATCCTCTGCTGTAAGAGGAAAGATGGAAGCTCGGCATCGATTTGGATAGTTTTCTGTCCTCAGTGAGAACTGACTTTATGGTGCAGCAGACAGTCAGGCACGGCAGCACAATCCCTTTCTGCTTTTCCAAGAGACAAAACCACTAAATCAACCTCATGTGTGTCCCTCGTTACCTTGTGGACTCCTGCTTGTAGATGTCGATGATGTTCTCCACCAGCAGGTTCCTCTGCAGCCCATAGACGCCGTGCCGGTCCAGGACCACCTCGTGCCTGCAGGAGGGACAGCGGAAGCGGCCGCCCGACGCCACAGTTGTGCCTCCCCTGGTCGGCAGGTAGGGGTTGGAGGCCTGTTCTTGCCAAGAAGCACAAGGAGAGGGGCCATGAAAAACCATGAAAGCTTCTTCCAAAAACACCAAATGGTAGGAAACCATTTGTCACTATGCCCAATGAGAGGGTAATTCCGACATGTCACCCCAGGACAGCACCTGGTGGCTGCTGGGCAAGGGGCCAGTCCTTCAGCTCACGCTTGACCGTGTCACCACAGCCAACAGGTGGCACTTTCACCTGTTGTGAGCTCAGCCCCGGCCCCCAGATACATCAGCTTTGGCCTTAAATCACTCCCCCTACCCTGTCTCACCAACTGATAAAATTGATCTACCAAAACATGTAAAAAATCCTCTTTCCATTCATTCCAGCCCATTCTGCTCAGGAAAAGCAGAGCTCTCTGTGGGAAGAAACCTACCTGGAAGATGTCACTGGCACACTTCCGACAGAGGTTGTGCTGGCAGGGCAGGATGACCACTGGCTTGGTGAACATCTCCAAACAGATGGGGCAGATCAGCTGTTTCTCCAGGTTATCCATAGTTTGCTGCTCTTTGGAGAAGGTCTTGTAGCTCAGGGAGGTGCTCATCCCTAGCTTTTGCTGGGGCATACGCTCAGGGCCACGGCCTTGCGGAGAGGTTTTGGGGTTAATTTCCCTTGAGGTAAGTCCAAGGCTGTGCTGTGATCAGAGGCTCTCTGGGCTGCTCGGGCCCGAGGTCATTGTTTGAACGAGGAGCCGAGCAGAGCCGGGGCTGTTTTTAGCAGCGCTGCGTCACGAGCTCCGTCCTGCCGTGCCCATATATGCGCGTGAGAGCAGGACAGGCTGGGACAGGTGACGGCTGCCGGGGGACAGGGGGGAGCCGAGGGGCCCTGGCTCTCCTCGCTCACACATGGCAGCCTTCACCCCTTGGGGAGCTGTGGGAGTGATAAGCAAAGGCCATCTGCTCCCTTTCCGTATCTTTGCGGGTCAATGGAGACTGAAGGGCTTGCCCCAGCCTGTGCAGCCTAATAGACGTTCTGTTGTGAGCCAGCAGCCGTGGCCACGAGAGGCAGGATGTCATTTTGCCCAGGCATTTTGGCAGGATTCTACCTTTCCAAGGTGTGAAGCGCATGTGGTTACTGGAGAAGACAATAGGAGCGATGGCTGCTCTGGAGCTTGAACACTTCAGGGTGTAAACACCTCACCACCTTGGAAACCAGATAAACAAAATTGCCTGCCTATAACTGGGCTTAAGTTTGTGCCAGTAAGATTTTGGTCTTAGAAGCTGTAACATAAAAACCCAACATGATTATTTGTGCCATTAACTCCATGGGCAGGTTAAATATGCATGAAAAACATTATTTGAATTTCCTGAGGAGAAAACCAGAAGAAATACAGTATGAAAGGCTTTCATTTGTGCTGCTAGAGAATAGGTACTAATTGTATATGCTCTCTCTCCAATAGTTTAATTCAAATATATTTTAGTTTTGGGCACTGCTGTGTTTATATCTGTTTATTAGACACTGATATCCCTTTCAGCTTGGCACTTGTTCCAGAGTTATTTTTAAAATGACAATTTCCCAGATAATTTGTGACATGTGATGCCTGGTCTTAAGGGAAAGCCATCTGTGCTTCTACTTGCCAATAATTTATCACACAACTGTACAAGCAATAAATATCTCATCCTCAAATTTAAGCCAAAGTTCCTGCATTACTGTATAAAATCACTTTGCCACCACACTGTACATGTAACCAGAATATTTTCTTGTCTTTTAGTCAATAACTACAATACTTTCTCAGTTCGGTGTCCTGTAGAAGACTTTAATGTTTATTCTGCCTTATGACTGTATAGGGCTTGAATGTGAAAAATGCAGTAGAGCAGCTGAGTGTGTGCCCCAGGCATCCAGGGGCAGACCCGAGTTCTAAAGAAGGGCCCTCAGACTGCATGCAACACCAGTCTGGAAACTGTGCACTTCAGGAAAATACAAAAGTGAAGGATTTCATGGATTTCTGCGTGGAAATGAATACTATCCTCTGCATGCAATTGTTATAAATAACATTAAATTAAATGTATTGTTGACTGTTTTATTTTTCAGTGTCTCACATGCTTCTTAAGTGTTTGAGTGAACTCCTGTACTCATTTGCAGCCCACCGAGCTGGAAATTCCCCTGTGTAAACTTACACACATTTGTCAGCAGTCCATAGAAACAAATCGATTTTTCTAAGTCTTGCATTCATGGGAAATTAGTCATAGCTTAGTTAAACCCACTTGAAATCACACCTTTGCTTCGATTGCCTGGTGTGGACAAGAGCCTGGAGTCCAGTGGGAGAAGCTGCTGCAGCAGCTGAGCTGTGGACAGCTGGGGCTTTTGGCAGGGCTGGCAGGGAGCCTTCCCTGGCAGCAACAAGAAGATATTTCTCTTCTTTCCCTCCCTTCCATAGCTGGGTCAGAGGTGACTTGTGCATCTGGAGGAATCTGAGCGCCTCATTCTTGCCCTCCTAACTTTGAGTCAGCTGCCCCTTGCTCACAGCAAAACCTGCTTCTATAAGGGGCTCTGAATTAAATGAAGAAAACCATCCTCATCTGGCAGGGCAGGAACTTCCACCTTACTGCTCGGACAGAAACAGGGAAATTCTGGAGGGAAAAGCTGAAGGCTAGCACACAAAAACATCTGCATACGCTGATTTAGGGAAGGGGGCGTTGATGGCATGCAAAAAAAGCCATGCTGGCCCTTTGGAGAATGAACTGAGGCACCTCTCAGAGTGTCATGTGCCTCTGGGATGTGATTATTCCGGTGAGTTTATACCTACCCATGGTAAGCCTTCTGTTAAGTGGCAGAGCAGGACATCTGATATATCTGCAGAGGACATCTGGTGGCAACAAGGTGAGGGACAGTGTGCTGCTGCTTTTCCCCTTTCTGTGTGCTGAAGCATGCTAACATGGAACAAGTAACAAACATCACAGCCAATAAGAGGAGTCAACGAAACAAAGATAAACCCACCTTCTGCAACCAGGCCTGAGCTGAAATATTTTTCTGTCAGGAACGTGTAGTCCAGACATGTGAAAAATTAATACAGGTTTTTCTGACAAGGTATTACGAACCACGGCAATAAATTATAGGTAAAGAAATGTAGAGGCTTGACCACACTTGTAAAGGCAGGATGAGAAGTGCCAGGAAAGCCACACATTGTATGACCACTCTGCAACAAGGAGGAAGAAAAGAGCCAAGTCCAAGACACTGAGGAGAAGCAGGTAGATCCTGCAGCTGGTCTTCAGCAGGGACTACTTAGGATAAATTTCAATTAACTCGCACTGAGAAAGAGCCTGGCACTCTCCTGTCTCTCCCTGGCAGCCCTGTCCCCCTCCGCTTCCTCCCCTTCCTCTCCTGCAGGGGAAGACCACCAGCTCACACAGCTGTCCACCTCTGAAGAGCCACCAAGTCAAGCCATCTCTCAAAGGACAAACAAAGGGCAAGAGGACTTGCTTTAACACTCCTCCTGGACAGAAAATCTGGATGTCTGCCAGCCATCACCAAGAAGAAATAATTTTATTTTCAGTATTGCTTGTCTGGGAGTGTTACCTGGCTTTGTTTACATAACCAGAACACTAATTCCTAAATATAGGCTTGCTTTTACAGACATTACTGTTAACTGCTCTATTTTGCAGCTGAATAATATCTTGTGGCCTGTGGAGCGATTGCCTGGAACTTGGAAAGCTGGCTGCAAAGCAATGGGTTTAGGAGAGGGATTTGGAGGAGGAAGGAGAGGTTGAGTGATGTCCAGGTTCAGGTTTCAATGCCATAATGACATCTCTGGGTTTTGCATTCAAAGAATTCCCCTCTGCAACCTCTTATCTTGTACCAGAGCTGTAAAGCTCTTGTGTGTCAGTCAGAAAATCAGCCCTGTGGCTCTCTTGCATGACTGGAAAACAAAGAGAAAAATCATATTTTGGCCAGAGGATGCTGACAAAAATATGCTCCCACATGACTTGCTTCCCCAACGAGCCTGCAGAGACAAAGTGCACTCTGCAAGGAACAGGCTCCTTGTCAAGGCATCCTGTCCTGGACATGATGGGTGGAGAGAAGCATCTCAGTCCATGGGGTGACAGTGCCTTGGCCTGCTGCCACCCCACATTCTGCCTGTCTTGGGGGTGAGCAAGCACCCCATCACCCAGCCCAGGAGTAGGCAGACCTCTACAGTGGCAGCTGCCTAAAGCAGATGGGAGCTGCCCATCTTTCCCTGGGCAGGGATCAACACCCACCCCCACCCTGCTGCCTCCAGTAGCTCCCCACAATCCTGAGGCTGGTGAGACTCACCTGCAGGCTTCCCACAACAGCCCAGCTGCTGGAAGAAGACAGAGCTGGTGGGTACCTGAGCAATACAACGGCCTAACAAAAATGAGATTGCCATCTCCAATTCTGCTCACCCAAATGCGAGACTTAGGGCAAAATGATGATGTATCCTTCCCCTCTTCCCATACCGCTAGTTCTGCTTCTTGTTCTGGCTGAAAAGATTTGAAATTTTAGCGAAGCATCCCTCAGGGAGGCTAGGAGAGGTCCTCCATCAATCTCACCTTTTGTCTGTGCCCATTTACCCTGCAGTGAACAGTCCCTCAGGAACGGGTGGCAAGCACCGGCATTCCCACCTACAAGACAGCTTGTTGCAGGGACTCAGATTTCACTTACATTGGCAACAACTTACTGAGCCGACAAGCCAGCTTTAAGATGAAGCCCTCCTACCTATACAAGTGCAAACTGCAAATTATATTTTGCATTTCATGATTTTATTGTGATCGATATGCATTCCATGATAAATACCGAGACTACCCTTGTGTGTGACTCAATTTATGCAGCCAAAGAGAGCCTTGCAACAGAGACAAGTGCTTTCAAAAACAGTTGCCTTTTGAGACTGACATTTTTTCCACTCAACACATATATATATATATATATATATATATTTGTCTTTGTGTACCTCATATGTGATGACAGGCCATATGCGGTCAGTATTTGGAGACCTTCTAAAAACAGTCTGGGGGTTGGTTTCAGATCTCCAGGAAAACAAAGACCAGCACAGGAGAGAATGACATCTTTAGAAAGTTTCTTTTGCACATATGAAATCACAGCAGAAGAGGAAAGCTCAAAGCATTTCCAAGGGTGAGTCACTGGGAGCGCATCAAATGTATGGGACATGAGATTTCAGGAACAAGCTACAAAGACCAGACAGAGGGAGGATGTCTGCCCTTTCCTTTTTAATAGAGGATGGACACTGCCCTGAGTTGAACTGTGCTCAAAAGCAGCCTTCTCTGGGCTTATCCACGCTCAAGGACATTCCACAGTTTGCAGAAAACTGGGAGAAACATGGGATAAAAGGGCATATGAATTAGATAATAACTTCTGTTCCAAATTAATCAGTGATACCAACATAAGTTATAGCAGACAAACCTCAGAGATTTGGAGAGTCTGTGGACAAACTGCATCAAAGACTCATCCCTGCATGCTGTGGTTCTGCCATCATCATGATACCAAGACATAAAGTCACTGCCCCACCTGTCTGCCTGGGAGAAAGAAGATCCTTTGGCTTCCTTCTGCCCTCCAGCAGTACCAGCAAGCCAGCATGAACCTGCCACCCAACATTAGGGGACACAGGGAAACAAAACCCTCCTGAAAGTCCTGGTTTCCTCAGAGTCCTCAAGGTCAGGATGAGAAACGGTGGTCAGGCCATACCCTTCAGACAGGT